AAAAAAATGTCTATGATATTTTCTGGAACGACCAACAGCATAATGCATATAGCTGTATCATAATAATAGCAAATTCAGAATTATTTGATATCAAAATGTACACGTGCACGTGCCTTAAAACGTAGACTCCATGAAATTCAGCAAGCACCACCACGACAAGAATAAACCATAAAAAACCTACGTTTCCTCGACTGTTTCTGTGGCAACAGCAGATTCGCATAGCAGCTCTCGATAAAAATGATCAGGAGCCGACGGTCGATCGTTCGAGCGTTGTGGTTGCAAAAGCGGTTGAGCAGTCAGCATAGTAGTTTTGGACGAAAGAAAAGTGTTGAAAGAGATCTGAAAGAAGGGTGCTGTGATCGGTATATGACTGCACGAGACCCATTGGTACTGAAAATAATAGAATACAAAATCATTCTTATAGATTCGCCCAGACGGTTTTCTTCAAGTTATAAAATAACATGATAACTCCTAAGCAGAGGATCTGCCTAAATCCATTGGAAAATGGGGGTGGGGGTGACCAGTATGTAAGCTATTACTTTTATCGTCTATGATACTCTCTAGTATCAGGAAATAACCCGACCACCAACCGGCATCGTGAGCTTCTTTTGCTTTTCTCGTTGCTCCGCTTCGCGTCGCAGACGCTCCCCTTTGTCCGGATCGAAGGGAGACGGCTCGCGAGGTCTGATTTCTTAAAAACTTCATGATTGCAGAAGTGTCAGCCACAAGACGTATTCGGCTTACTTGCAACAGTCGCTGAGTTGCGTCGAGAAGCAGGAGGAGTTTCCTTCTCACGAGTTGATTCTGCTAACTGATTCATGACATTGCGGGATCGTTGCCGACGAATTTCTTCATTCTGAAACGAGTTAAGGTCAGCAAAGAGCGGCTCGTGGGAGCTACTTGGCACTTTCGAATATTTGGTATTTCAGAGTATGCCGAATAAGTTTTTTTTTTCTCTGAAACTTTCTCATAGGCTGAACACAAAAGTGATAAAACAAAAGAAAAATCACTAAGTTCTAGACTGATTCCTTGTCGTGCATTCAACCCGAACGATAAAGACATACTCTTTTCTTTTCAGCCTTCGTTTCACGTTTCAATGACGGGTACAGGAAATCCTTCTGCATCAATCGGTGCTTAGAATTACGCGCTCGGGGAGATAGATCATCTTCATTTGGTTCAGAACTGAAAGGAATACCATGAACAATAGGAGAATCTTGTTAACATTATTTGAGTTTTACCTCTGTGTTTTCCCTGAAGGCTGGACATATCCTGAAGCCAGACGAGCTGCCCTTTCCTCTTTCAAACGATGAACACGTTCGCGTGCTTTCTCGATGTTTCTGGAAAGGCATTAATAACATCAATTAGAGAACTTCAATTTCACATGAAAAATCACAAGCTTTCAATTTCCATTTACAAAACAGAAAAGTCAAAGACAATCTCCACTCCTACCTACAGCCTACCTGGCTCTTCTATCTATGAGAAAATGTCTTGTCTTGCAAGTCTAATCACACCTTTTCCTCTTCTCTCGCTTGTTGATGATGGCAGAATGTCGAGTGATTCCATCTTGACATACCTCGGCTAGCAACCGATCCATTACTGCATTAATGGACACACCCAGCTTTTCTACCGTACCTGGTAAAAAAAA